TTTTTGGGACTCCTTGGACCTCATATGTCTTCGCTTCAAAGAGCCGCTGCTTCATTTCAATTGTTGTATAAACCAAGATCATCTGCTCCGAAGCCAGGAGAGAAGAATGGAGAATCCAGAACTTTTTCGCCGAAAGGACATATCGAATTTAAAGATGTCAGATTCAAGTATGCAACTAGAGATAAGGAGGTTCTACAGGTACGGTTCTGATCGTCTTACAGAACGTTTTACCGGTACATTTCAGGGTCCCCCCCTGGAAGTGTTACCCGGCCAGAATATTGCTCTCGGGGGGGAAACTTAGGTTGGCGGTGTAAAAAGAAAAAAAACTCACTATCTGTAGAAAAAGCGGAAAACCTTCGTTGTGTGGACTGTCGAAGATTGGTTGCAACTACGGAAGTCTGAATATAACAATGATGAGAGGATGAGAGACGCAGAGAACACACTAACACTTCTTTTGGATCGGGAAACTTGGGGCGGCAAACGAGAGAAGTCGATTGCCGGAATAGATACCGGAGGATGTGGTTTTGACTCAACTTTTGATGAAGACTGTTGTGGAGATGATTCAGATATTTCAGCACATGAAGATGCCTCACTGATTGGCCGTTCGGCATCGTTTGGCGGGTACGGTGTAGCTGAAAACAAACGTATTTCTAAATTTTTGTTTAGACAAGGAAAGTAAAGTGAAAATTCACGAGTTCTATCGGAATTCGTAATCTTGTCATCTAGAAAACCATCTCCGTTTTCCAGTTTGATAGTCACAGTTCCATTAGGGAATATATAATTTTTACTACTCCTTGTATCCTTCTGGTTCTTGTTATCCACATTTTTCGTTGTATTTTGATAAGCAAGAACAGCTGAATTTGGGAAATTCGATTTTAAAAATACAATTTTTAAGAAACTTGCCATAGGATACCCTCTCCTGTTCTTCTACTAAATCTCTAGCTGTGTCGATTGTCTCCGTATCAGTTTCATCTATCATTCGTAGTTCGTCCATTGTAAAATGACTTCTGGAACAAATAATCGGATCAATGTCTCTGTTTTGAAAACTCACTTCAGTCCAGAAGTCTCATTGTTTTTTCGTACAGTAGTCGATCCGTTTGAACTGGTTCGCTCGAGAGAACCTCGACTTGCTTCGTTTGGTGTGGCAGATCTTGCTGCTTCTTCTGCTAGACTACTGTTACAAGATCCTGAAGTTGTCGGTGGATGACTACAGGAAGATGATGAAGGCAATGCTCTGTCGATCGGAACGAATTTAAATCTTCTGTGGAATCGCAAACTGATTTCTCCAGGTGTCGTATATATCGAGGGAGACTGTTGAAGTTGATGCTATCCGGGATGTATCTGAAAAAGAAAAAATTTGAATCATAATTTTAAAAAAAACCTCACCCGTTGGCAATACTATTCCTGGGACTTGCGAAATCTCGTTGATTGAGTTGTCTGATGTATCGGGGAAGACTTTGATAGTCTTCGGCTCCAGTTTCCAATGTCACACGACTACCTTCCAAATCGGTGTTTTCAGGAGAGTTGCAAGATCGATAACGACGTCTTCTGGTGGAATTTGAAATTGTTGCAGATGCAGGACGTCTTCTGCAAAATTGGAGGAAAATGGATGGCGGAAACTTCCGGAAAAGAGTAGGTGCAACGATTTCCTTTAGGCGGAGAGAATGGACTCTTTTTGTGTCTTTTCAGATTATCCTTTTATACCGTTACTTAATCCTCTCAAGATTTTCTAATATCTTCTTAATCCATTTGGATTTTTTATTCAATTTGAACTTCTTTAGAAAAAAGTAATACTTACGGATTTCGACGACTCGGGGACATATCGAGATTTCCTTCGCTTCCATAGCGATCATTGGTGGAAAAGTTGGTTGATCCAGCTCGATCTCCCCAAAAAAGATGTTGAAGAATAGGAAGAGGGCGTGGGAGTTGAGAATGAGATGCGAGAGAAAGAGTGGAAGTTCTGAGATCCGGTCGTAGAGAAGATGTAGAGGTACGATCGATTTCTTGTGGTGGTGCGAACATACCTGAACAAGAGATGTTTGATTTGAAAGATACAAAAAAACTTACTGCATATTCTGGTGACTTGAAATTGTTCATCTGTTAACAATTGATCGGAAAATGCATCGACAACATCTACGAACATGTCGAATGAGCATGCGTATAGGCATCTTGCCTTAGTTTTATGGACAGCCAGACGGTCGCATTTTTCATTTAACTGAAAAGATTAAAGAATTTGAAGTTGAGAAATACTTGAGTCTCTTTAGGTATACGGTAGTTTCAATGTTTTTCTCTCAAGGTATCATCTTACTGTAACCTAAGCTTATATTTAAATATTATTCTGATACAAAAAAATCAGAGCTGTGAAATGGCGCGTTCAAAGAT